GGACAAAGGCCTTTCTAACAATATGCAATATGGACTCCTTGGACAAAGGCCTTTCTAACAATATGCAATATGGACTCCTTGGACAAAGGCCATTGCAGTGTTTGATTGAGAAATTTGTGAGAAAAGTTCCAGACAAACAAACGTAAATATATTATTTACATAGATTATTTCCAGAGTGACCACAAATGCAAGACTTACATTTTGTATGACTTTTCCAGGCAGTGAAAAAAAAATGATTTATACAATTGACATTTGCATCTTAGATTTTAAACTAACAATATATCTAAGTATTAAACTAACCATTACTTTTTTTTCATCACATTTCTGGGTTTTCTCTAATTATTTGACATTGTTTTTTAACTTCAGTTTCCCAGACATTTCTAGTTTTATTTTGGTCTAACTGTATTACATTTAAAAAGATGTGGAAATAGGAAGTTGTTGTTGGTGGATGATTTTTTTGCTGCTTTTGATATGCAGGTACATACAACCAAAGACACACCATGAAAAATAAAAATATATAAAATGTATGAAAATGTGGTCAGGTGTTAAAGGTGATCCATTAACAACTTGTGGTATTTAACTGATTATCTGTAGTGAAGCACATATTTTTCTCTATAGTACAACCGAATATTAGCCACATAATACACAAGCTATTAGATTTTCTTAAAACATTACTTATTTAAATGACTTACCAACCAAAGCCAGAATTACTGTCACAAGAGGTGCTGCTGGAAAATTTATGCTAATATTGAATTCTAACATGTGGAGAAGTTCAACTGAAAAAAAGAAAGACAATAACAAGAAAGGATTTCTTATCCAAAGAAAATATAATTTATTTGACATTAATTACTATTGTTTTATTTTTCCCATTTCAGTACACAATGTTTTATAGAATACAGCGTTAATTACAGGGGCTCAAAATTAAAAACGAATCTGTGAAATCAAGTGGAAACTCAGCCAATAGTCTTCTCACCCATTTGTATTTATCAATCTCTACTATTGAGTGAAGACATGCACTTAACAGCCATAACTTTTTGATTTAAATTACACATGCTTGCGAATTTCCTTTATAATATTCAATGACACACATAATAAACTATGCTAAATATGCGGAAATAGAAGAAATAATACAATTAGGCATTCATGTTTGTTGAAAATTACATGAACATTCCCACAAACAAGTGTTTCTGGTTCCATAAGGTGCATACATAATACACTAACCCTACTAACATAATTCAACCTGTATAGTATCATAAACTTTATACTTTCATTAAAATCTCCTGCATGTTATATATATAGCACAGCACCACAAGTTTTAAACTAACTTAATTTCCAAATTCAAGACCTAGCTACTGCCTTTATCCCACATGGCCACTTCTAATCATAACAGTTACAGTTTTTATAGAACGACTTATTTCCTGAGAGCATCTATTTTGTTTATTTACTGTTTTTCTCGACATTTTGCCAAATCAGCTTTGGGCTTCATTAAAGCATCAGGATTTCCCATCACTTTGGCTGAGCACCCTGGTTAAGCTGTAACTTGTGTCATCCAACTTTTATCTTGCATAAAGAAAAGTGTTTAGCTGTTGAACCTCGAATAAGCAACTAGCATTATGCTAAAAATTTGGTTTATAAATTACATTTTAAAATGCATGACATAGGCTACACGAAAGAGTAAAGCATGATAAAAAAATTTACATAGAAAAATGCATTCAAAAGAATATGGATTTGTCACACTCTGAGCAGAATCATTGGGTTCCTAAATAAGAAAACCATATGAATCAGTACCCAAGTTTCTTAACTTTTAGCCTTTCAGCTTACATATAGTTCTGTTGTTTTAAATGTTAATTTGAATATTATTGCAAACTTACACCATACTATATATATATATATATATATATATATATGTGTTTACTAGCATATATGCCAAAATTTAAGAATGAACTAAAAGAAGGAAATCCCACATGTACTTCCAACTCAGCATGCCAAGTTAAAATTCTAACTTTTTTTTATTCTGCTTCAAGTATCTGCTGCTGTTTTCTTTTTTAAATAGGCTAAACTAACATAAGGGAAACAAGTGGCCAAAACCAGCTTGAAACTAACATAAGGGAATCAAGTGGCCAAAACCAGCTTGAAACTTCCAAATTGTAAAGCTGTAAAACAATTCACATTACACTCTTTAATCTGTTTACATAATAGTTCATGATAAAATGGTTGAGTTTATAAATTCTAAGTAGAAACATGTTTATTTTAACATCGCAGTGAAAACTGTGACAATGTTTCACTTCACATTAAATTCTATCAAATAGTTTTTATCAAAATGTTGAACTCTACTGGACAGAGGTTAAACAAATCAACTTGAGTATTCCTAGAACTCTTAGCCTGAACCAGAACCCAAATAATATTCATCAGTTATTCTATATCTTTACAAAAGAAGCTAACTGAAGTTGCTTATTAGCCTTTAACAATTATACAGAGTAATTATATAGAGGAACACAGTAAAATCACTGGTGTATATTTCTAATATACATTATTTTAAACACTTAATGTGATACTTAGTCTTTAGAAATAAATATTTACCAAACTCTATCTAAGAATAAACATTTCTTGGCAATTCCATAATATTATTGCCAAAATCAATGTTAAACTAAGAGTCATTTACAATATAAGAGAGTGACTTATTTTAATCAGACACTGAAAGGGAATACATGTATGGATCCTACTGTATATCCTTACTGTTACTTAATACATTTAAGGAGATAATATGAAAAATGATATTTAATATTTAGATGTCATCACTGACCAGAATCCTGGCTACCATAAAAAGTAAAAAAAAACACTGTTAACCCTTTCCCCTATATCTAGTTATAGAATATGGTAACATACACCCAAAATTTACTCATACACTTCACTGCTAACATTGAAGCCAAGTAGTCATCCATCACCTAAAAATTTTAATAAAATTATTTTGCAAAAAAAAGTTAAATCATGAGTTTCACGTGACATAGAATTATATCAAGACATAAGAGTGAGGTTGTCTACAATCCACAGACTGTGAATAGTTCCAGAAACTGCAACTGGAATCTTGTGAACTGAGTCATAAAACAAAATGAAAGTGAAAAGCTTCATCTTATATCTTAATATAAACATCCTTTAAATTGTATCAACGTTTCTCTGATTGGCCAAACAAAAGCATAACCAATAAAATCATTAAATCTAACCTGCAGGTATTATTCAGTTTAACTGACCACTTCACTCAAACCAACTATTTCATTAAAGTTACCCAATAAGTATATCATTTGTTTATATTCAAGATTTAGTTTCAACACCCCAGTATAATTCTGAATATGTAAATCCTTACTTCATGCCATAAGCACTATAATATATTTACTACTATAGTCTATTTAGAATAATTCATTGTTGCAGTACAAAGCTCGAAGCTCTCTGTTAAGAAGTTAGAAACCACTTTGTAATAAGTGTAAACAAAAAAGGTTTATAAATTCAATGTTGGTAGGTGGAAATTGATCTGAATATTGTGTTGAGAAATGATACAAAAGGCAAGTCTATTTAAACAGAAAATACAAAAGATAAATGTTATCAAGCATTGGTTCTTCTAGGCAATATGTTAACTTTACATGTTTATTAGCTTTGTCAATGTACGTAGACGTTTGCCCATTTAATAATGAGTAACAGAAAAAAAGTTTTTACTAAGGCATGTTTGAATTCATGTAGAACACAGTTAGAAGTCACTAAAGGTTTGAAATATGTTTGAAAAGTTCTTGCACACCAAACCTTAGGAGTAGAACTCTTACATTCATAAATATCAAATTAATTCTAGTTTTTAGAAATGCAATCACAAAATATACTTCTGTAATTCTAACTAAGTTACCAAATGGTCAGAATGCTAAAATACAACTTAAACACGACCTAAAGTCATGACAATTAAAATCAGAAAGAATTTTAAAAAACACTCTCATTAAGCAAACTTGTATTCATAAGTGGCAAAGGCAGAAACATTATGGTCAATACAGAAATATTTCTAAATATGTATTTCAATTACACAAGGACATTTACATAGATTTTCAGAAATACAAGTGAATACTAAAAACAGACACCTTTTTTTTTTCTTGTTCTAAATTTGGTTAACATGCACACAGTGGTGTAGCAAGAGGGGGGCAATTGCATCTGGGTGCAAGTGTTAAGGGGCACAAAATTTCCTCTGGCCTATAATGCCTATTAATTAATAATTATGCTCTCCCCTAGGATATAGCGCAACTGCCATACGTTAAGTAAATACAACACAGTGTTATGTTATTTGTGTGTATTACGTTTGCAGTTTTAACTTTAAAGACCGCCCACTGAATACAGTGAGACTGAATTGACGTACAGAAGTAAATTACACTATTCCATCATTCATCTGTAGATCAAAT